ATATATATATATATATATGTGAGAAATATGGGTATGCTTGGTACCAAGCACAAATTTTGTGCTTGGTAGTGATGTGTCACATCCCTATTCACTCATTACCTATGTGAATATGGTCTCATATTTGAATGAGTAGAGGGAGATGTGACACCTCACTTGGTAACAAGCATACCCAAATTTCTCATACACACTAATGCGTACGCACCCAGGCTGTTTCAGCGAATGAGGGGTTTTTTTGAAAAATTCCTCCCACAATTGAGTACGAGTTCGTGACCGTACTTGCCATGGAAAGCGGGGGCTTTTTTGAAAAAAGTCACCGAAGATGGAGTTAAAAGGCTTCTTGTGACCATTCTCTCTCTTCTCATTCCAAAACCCTTATCCCAAAATCCATCCCCGTCACCGGCTTCCCCCAAATCCATCCCCGTCAACGCCGACCGACTTCCCCAAACTCCGGCTCCCCGTCACCGCCGACCGACTTCCTCCATCAAGCCATCAAGCCACTGACTCCTCCCCCAACTCCGACTCCCTGTCACTGCCGACCGACTTCCTCCATCAAGCCATCAAACCACCGACATGGAGTGATTTTCGTAATCCTCAGCGAAAACATGGAGTCCCTGCGACTTACTTTTGTGTGTGTTGGGTTTTGGGTAGTGTCACTAGCATTTTATTTCTTCCGATTTGTTTCCTTTCACCTGTTATCGCGACAAATCCTAATATTTTTGGTTGTTCATCCTTTTAGAGGCTATTCATCCTTTTATGTGCTTCTCATTGTTGAGTTTTTATGTTGGGTTCTATTTGCATTTCACATATGAACATTAAAATGATATTATTTTGATGTTTCTTTGACAAGAGAGTCTAAATTTGTTACCTTTTATATGATAATCAGGTTGTGTTGGAGTTGCAAGATGACGGGAAATTGGCTACCTCAGATTATCCTCCTGTAGTGCTCGGTTGCACCGATGCTAGAAATGGTGAGTAACTACCACTGTGTTTCATTTATGAAACAGCCCAGAAGTATAGAAGTAAATGTCACACGTTACACGTAACAAGATTCTTAATGGCGGAGAAAATGATGAAAACTTGTTCGAGTATATCTGTTCTCCTAAGACCGCCACTATCAATTTCACAGGTGTATCTAATACCCTTTATGCACTAATTTTGAACAATTCCCTGGTAACTCTAGGATTTCCTTCCTACTATTAAATCTATAATTTGCACTCGTACAATCTCCTTAAGTATCACAAGCGCGCGCACAGAGCTGCAGTTAAAGCTTTGGAGAGCAGACACAGCCTTGGCGTTGTCATCAGAAGGATAGAAGAAGCCATGTCCTCCCATAGCTGACAGCATAAATTTCAAGTTATTTCAAAAGGTTCTATACACAATTATTCTATAATTATTGCTACATTTATTTAAGGAATAAGCTCTAGCGTTTTCAATTTCTTAGGATGAAGGGAGTTGGAGCAATAGCTGCAAATTGTCTTGGTTCAGGCCTGATCCAAATAAGATGTAAACCCAAGTCGGTAAAATTGACAGTGATCGAATTGGGTTTATCAGGTCGTCCTATATCTTATGCGGTTACTGTGATAATCGTGCAGGAATTTGACAACATGTTGACATTCTTTTTCCGTTCATGCCAATAAATAAGGCATCAACTCTGCTTGGTACAAGAGTTTTCAGGTTCGAACGGAGCATGAAAGCAAAGGCCTCTTGTTTTGCCAAGGAAAATATGTTTTCTCGAGTCCTAGTGTAGACAATAGCGAGAAAAATGAGACTATATAGAATGATGTACAGGGTTCACAAGTCAAAGTTGAGTAGAAACTCCGATGACGGGTTTCATGTTGCTGTATATACTTTCACAATTCAAGTACTTATGTATTCACTTTGTATATGCTTAATAGAATCATCTGATAAGACTTAGCTATTCTTTTTTCAGCAATTTCTCAACAAATGTGGCATGTTCAAGGCTTATATGATCTCAAAATTATTTTAGTGACGCTGACCTCTTATCTCTCAACCATCAATTAGCTTTTTTAGACAAATTGCTTCACTTATACATTGTGCTTGGTTGAATAATTGATAGCTGTATGTCCTACCAACGCAAAGTTACAAGATAAATTGCAAAACATAAACTAGAAACTCATGGATATAACATTAAGATGAAATGAAAAGCAAAACATCCTTATTAACAAATCTCACAGATATAACATTAAGATAAATTGCAAAGTTACAAGAATTCCGTGAAGCATCAAACATAAACTAGAAACTCATGGAAAGACAGATTATTTTCGATTTCTAAACATGCATCAAATGAACACCGGGATGAAGTAAACTAACAAATTTTCTACCCTTTTATTTTACCCCCTCAATTTTCAAGACAATGTTCTCAACCAAGTACTACTAAGTATTCCTCGTGTTTTGCATCCTCTGCTTCGCAAAATTTCATATATTGATCAGCATCCATCAAAGATTATAACTCCCCTGAGTTGCTCATCTTGACCTTGCAGGTATTATAAACATCTGTTACAATAAGAAGGGGGGATAGCAAGGAATCAAACCAAACTCTCCATGTTCCATAACTAAAACTGCAACAACAGGAAAATTGCAAGGACTGTACATTCCAAGAAATAAAAAGAAACCGGTTTACAATTTGAAAAGGAAAATGTGCTGTCTGCACAAATATACCTAGTCCTTATTTTCCACAAATCAAATTACTTGGTAATCAGATGATAATTTTAGAAAACGAAAACAGATACAATGAGTAAAACAAATACATTGCTCTTTTTCCCCATAGACCGTCTCATCTAATTAACCGATAAAAAGAACATAAAAGTAACATTTCAAAATTTGATACCATCACCCAGTAGCAGTATCCACCCCCCTGAGGCCATGCTAACTCATTGATTCGATTTAATCTGCTAACATTGACAGGAACGACCCAAAGAACCTCAATTGAAATCCTTGAGCCTCTTCAACATGTCCATCGACTTCTTCCGAGCATTCGTCTTTGCATTCCGATTCGAGAGACTCCCAAACAGTCTGTCCGGTGAATCCCTGAACTTCTCGCAGATGCTCGCGACCTTCTCGCAGATGCTCGCAGATGCTCGCAGATGCTCGAAAAACAACTAACCATTTTCATTTATACTAATATAAAGTTAGGAGATAAGTCCCATCAGTATATCCCAATAACTGAAAGCAATTTCTTGGAATGTTCATTAAAACACTAGAACCAAACAACCAAAAATATTAGGATTTGTCGCGATAACAGGTGAAAGGAAACAAATCGGAAGAAATAAAATGCTAGTGACACTACCCAAAACCCAACACACACAAAAGTAAGTCGCAGGGACTCCATGTTTTCGCTGAGGATTACGAAAATCACTCCATGTCGGTGACACTCCATGTCGGTGGTTTGATGGCTTGATGGAGGAAGTCGGTCGGCAGTGACAGGGAGTCGGAGTTGGGGGAGGAGTCAGTGGCTTGATGGCTTGATGGAGGAAGTCGGTCGGCGGTGACGGGGAGCCGGAGTTTGGGGAAGTCGGTCGGCGTTGACGGGGATGGATTTGGGGGAAGCCGGTGACGGGGATGGATTTTGGGATAAGGGTTTTGGAATGAGAAGAGAGAGAATGGTCACGAGAAGCCTTTTAACTCCATCTTCGGTGACTTTTTTCAAAAAAGCCCCCGCTTTCCATGGCAAGTACGGTCACGAACTCGTACTCAATTGTGGGAGGAATTTTTAAAAAAAACCCCTCATTCGCTGAAACAGCCTGGGTGCGTACGCATTAGTGCGTATGAGAAATGTGCTCATATACATACATATATATACTAGTATGGTGCACGTGCGATGCACGTGTATTAAGTTTCATGTTTATATGTAGCCCCAAAGTTCTTATTGATAATGAATGAAAAATAAATTGTGGTGCAAGAGGAGAAGGAGAAAGTAGATTTAGCAAGTGTGAAGAGGTGAACTGTTATTACTTTCCTATAGAAGGCTATGGAGAAGTTACAATATTAGAAACAAAATACATGTAGAATAAACTCTTTGTTCATCACACCTCCACACTCAATGTGAATGAACAATTCACAGAATACCACCTCACAAAAGTATTCTACTTCTCGTCCCACTCGTCGTTCTTATACGAAACCAACGTATCCACTATGTGTATCTGAACAACAAAAACGTGAAGGAAGAAGTTACGATATTAGAAACAAAATACATGTAGAATACGTCGATACATACTAACTCGAAGAGAAGCTATACCTTGGTGTCAAATGAATGTAGCTTAACCATCTGTGGATTTTGGATCAATTTGGCGTCACTCTCAATCCAGGTAAATGGGACTGCAACATCTTTGTCGTTGTAGGCTAACACGTCGAAGACACATTCAAATGCAAAGCAAATCTAAACCAAAAAAAAAAAAA